TCCCCATTATTTAATGCATCAACCCACGATCCCATTTATATTTTACTTTTTGTTTGATTGCATATGCTTTAGAATAAGTGTAGATCTCTAATCGTCCACTTAATAAGTCCTTAACGTGCAATCAATTAATTTACAACATTGTACTGTGTAAGTCGTAGTATTCTTGTTTTACATTAATCTAACCCATGAATTTAGCAATAACAATCAATCATTTCAGAAGCAGATCTCTTAAGTTTTGAATGGCTTTTCACTAGACAATACAATGTCGAGAAGACTTGCCCTTGCTCAAATTCAAATCCAGAGTTACGCAAACTATGTTTACTTCAGAATTGAAGAAAACCCACTATCCTTCTCAACAATATGTTTTCAAAATATGACCATGAAGAGACTTTCTTGCGCCTCTAAGCTTTGTTTTAGCCCTGAAAAGTAACCATAGTCCAGTCTTTATTTTCCAGCTAGTGTAGCAGCAACACAATTGCCAATGGATCCTAGAGGGAGATGCAATGCGATGCAGACATTTCACAGTTTGTGTTTGCATTTACATTTGTTGTGTTGCGAAATGCTATTTATAATGAAACAAAGGAATGAATTTTCAAATCAATTATCTTGAATATGAACTAAGTAGAGAGGTGATGGGCTAACAAGAATGAATAGATTGGGAACAAAAGAGTTCCGAATGGAGAACTTTAAAGATCCTCCTAACATGACCTAACAAGCCAATCCCAAGTTCAAAAAGCAAAGATGCCCCCCAAAAGAAGAAGAATAAAAAATGTACCTTGTTTAGACTCTGTGCATCAGTATCTCCATGAACTTTTTGTTGCTCCTCCAAAAAAGCACATCAATGGCAGAGTTTTACAGTTGCTGTATTTAACAAATGGACAAAGCTAGCAAAAAAAGCTAAATTGAACAGCATTACTACTACTTCCAAGTGTAAACCAGAAGAACATTTTTCTCAAGTCTACAAGATGGTGACTGCCAATAGCAGGTGTCTTCCTGCAATGTGGTTATGGAAAATAGAATGTTTCCTTGCAGAAAAAAAAAATCTTTATTTGATTAGAGAATAAATTTTTCATGTACTATAAGACTATAACCAACCACTGGTATACACGGTGATCCACATTTGTAAGAGATTGGGTAAAATAGATCCTAAAACTTTCGGCCGCCAATAAGTGCGCCTCTTCTAATGAAATGCGTACAACAGCATTAGAATTTAAACACAAAACTGAAACCTTGTTATAAGCAATCTCTACGGCCGGGAAGAGAAAATTGACCAACCTGCCATTAAAAAAGCGGCTTTGGTCAGGCAATCAACAATGGGACACTGATAAATGCAAACAGCAGAACAGGAAATATTTGGACTTGGACTATGTCACATCAAATAGAAGACTCCACCAGACCATTGAGCACATCGAACAATCTTTACAAAAAGCCACAATGGTTTTAAAGTTTCTACTGTAAACTGCATGCCACGTTCTCAGTCTCTTATCAACTACAGAAACTTTGGTTCATTATTTTCAACTTGCATCCATACTTTTATTAAACTGATAACTCTTTTTCGAGTATCCGCAATAATATGAAAAGCTAACTACACCCAGCATAAACCCAGCGAAAACGGTAGTAATTCCAGAAAAGATTCACGCTGGCTCTCAGCTATATGCAAAGATTCCATATATCTATTCAGTAGAATTAACCTGACACTACCAACCACAGTCGAAACTTACAAAGTTTTTCATTTCCAGGTTCAGAGACTTACTTTGGCAAAAGAAATCGCTAGTGATCCATACAACACCATGTTACGGGTTGAAGAAACTTGAGCCGCCCATGTTGATAGCAACAAGCACCAGTACAGAAGTGATTACACTGAACCACAATAATGCTAATCCTGAAATTAGAAAGCTTGATAGTTTTAGACCAAGCAATTATAGAAACAAAATCATGATAAGACAGAGCCTCGATATACCTCCATCATCAATAGAAACTTTATCAGAATTCACACTTTTCACTTCTGAATTTGATATGCCCCCACTACCAGGATCTTCTGCTCGAGATTTTGATTCTGCCCCAGCTTTTGAAGCTACTGGTGACATACTTGATTCACCATCATCAAGTTTATTGTTTCCAGCTTCTGATGAAACTATGCCTTGAAACTCCTCGCTCAAAATCAATGCAGACAGCACGTTCATAAATGACTCTTGACCAAAATCATCAGAAGTAATTTTGTCATTCCGAACAAAAGATCTAGGTTCTTCCGAATCAGACATTTCATCATCAGAAGCATCTGCAATAATGGCTTTTGCATTGCGCTTATCATCTTCTTCATCCTCCACATATGCTTTGTATGTAAGCCGGAGTAGTATTTCTCCAGCAGATCCCTTTCCGAACAAACTCCAACCGCCTCGCAAGACAACAATTCTGTCTGTAGGAACCGTATCTGGCAGTGATCCGAGGTCAACCTGGATGTATAATCAAGTAATAAGGTTATGCAGACAGCAAAAATTGATAGTCAGCACTATTTTCCTAACAATTAATGCAGAGATTCTCAGATTAATAGGTAGCAACCAATCGCTTGATAGTGACAACGTATCAGAGCAGAGGCTGACTACGCAAACTGCAGCATCAATAAATAATTATATGAATTGGTTGCATAGAAGCTGGAGAGTGGAATTGTGCCAAGAATAACTAAGTGAATAAGTGGTGCCCTTTGTATTCTGACAAGAAGATCAATGACTAAGTGAATATAGGGCTTTACATGGTCACTGCAGCAACTAATTGTTCACTGACTGTTTTCTTACCCATTCAATCACATATTTTTTACATTAAAAATTAAAAGCAAGCTGCTATCTTATCAGCATTGGTGTTAGTTCTCAGTCTCATCTTCTCAATTCAAACCTTTAGTTGAAATATTGTGCAGAGACTAACGAGATGAAATTGCGTTTTTGTATCATGTTGTATTGTTGTTATTAAGCAGTGTGCAGAAAGTATATAGAAGGTGACACTACAAACATGAACAAAGCTTGACACGGAAGTAGATGATCATCATCTTGTGAAATCATTTCTGTTAACATATCGAGCTATTCTTATCAAGATTACAAACAAGATAAAAAGAAATGATTTACCTCTCCGGTACCAATAGCCATATCGGCGAATCCAAGACAGTCGTTGACTTCAATTTGTAATACTTGCTTTCTAGGATTTGAAACAAGGAATTGGAAGTCCTGACAATATTTATGATACATGAATATACTACAAAATTTTAGCAGCTTAGCAAAAACCAACTCACCACCAGATTATAAATAAGCCATTAAGATATTTTAAGCAGTTCACCTGATTCCAGATTGGCTGACCTGGAGCCCCAGTCACAGTAGTTTGACTGTTCTTCTTACTGCGGATAACTTGATCACCAATTCTTAAAATAACATATGGATCCGTTCTACCTGTTACATATTGTCAAACAAAATGTGCTGAATGAAGGAACATGTAAACTGATGAAATTTTACTATATCTATATGTGATCAATGCATTAATATAGCTGGTTTTTATTTCATAACGTATCCAAATGAATAAGAAAACTGTTGAGTGAGTATAACTTACCAGAGAACATATATGGAAGTTTCTGCGCATTTACAAGAGTAACAGACAACTCCCCAACAAAATCCTTGTTCCCTTCCTGCATTTCTCCAGATTTTAGGTCTTCTGAAACAGGTCCAACAGCTTTTCCTTTCTGGAAATCCAAGACAATTTTCTTTGGGCGAACAAATAACCGAGGCAAATCTTCTGTCAGCAATTTGGTCAAGAACCTGAAAGAGATGAAGAGAAGTAAGGAGGGAAGAAACTGATATATCAAAATATCAATGAGGGTAAACAATCAACTGAGAGAGAAAAGCTAAAACGAATACCAGTATCTGATCAGACTTATGCAGCATTGCAACTTAAAGTACATGCTCCCAAATTTCGC